AAACCAAAACAAAACCAGTTTAACACAGGTGAATGTCAATGCCAAACAAGAAAAAGGCAGTGAAGCTGCAGCTCATCTGGGTGACTTCAGCATAACGGAGCTGCATACATACAAGGAATTTAAAATGAGGGAAGAATCTGAATGTGAACGAAACTGAAATTAAAATCCAGCAGTGCACTGACTAAAAGGGAGGCTGGAAAATGGAAACAGCTAGCTGGTAGCAAACATTAGCTACAGCAGCTGCGATTGCCATTTGCTCTAAATGCATGTTAAATTAAAGCCAGCATCTGTTCTCACAGAGATGGCTTCAGTCATCTTAAAAGACAGGTTAATTTGGAAACCAAAACTTTAGAAAAGGATTAAAGGCAGGGTTTGGGAGTGGTAGAGAAATCTGATGCCTGATAACCACGGGCAAATGTTCCCAGTCCTGGTTGGTCATTCTGCAGCTCTGCATGAGCAGTGTTACATTTCACAGGAGCTGGTGAAGAGCCTGCGTGTAGCAGTCAACAAAACCTTTTAAGGATGTGAATGTAAGACTGAGTGACTTGACTTCTTTCTAGACAATCAAAGCTGAGCAAGCAGTAAAGTAGATGCAGGTGACAAATGCTGAGAAAAGGAAAGCAAAGTCCCACAGATTTCCAAATAATGACTAGCATTTAACTCTGAGCAGCACTTACACAAAGAGAAACAAAATGATTACAACAGCAGGCATCATAAAATACTGGGATCTAGAAAAAGGAAAGTAGTAAGAAGTCAAAAAAGTCAAAAAATTCAATTGCACAGTTACCAAGGCTCGATGTCATTTCAGCAAACTCAGGAAAAGGGCTTCCAAAATGATGAAGGGATTACAAATTGTAAAATAGGTGGTAGGAACTATCATCAGAGAAATCACAAATCAGAGTGCTGAGAGCTGACGAATGAAAAATAAAGTGGAGAAAACATGCCTGGCTGGGACTTCTTAAAAATGTTCCCAGCCACTGATCAGAACTACCTAACAGCAGGAAAATGTCACAGTAGAAGAGGTAAAATCACCCAAACTGTCAGTATTTGGTATCCTGGTCATCCCATCGCACCGTCAGTTATACAGTGCTGGCTATCTAAATTTATTTTAATAAACAGTATGCTGAAATAACTTTAAAAGACAGTCATAGCAAACTTGGTTTAGGGTCTATTTCTCAGTTTGGGACTTGTGGTGAAACACTAAGTTCAATTTTATTTGAGCTGATTTAACCACCCTTATCTTAAGCAAGAAAATTATGGTTTTAAACACCCATCTACCTTATTTCTAGAATATCATACAGACTAAAGCAAAGATCAGTGGCTAAATCAAAAAGTCAAAAGTAAGAAACTAGATGGCTTTGTTTAGTGAGGTTCTGTACTAAACTTAGTTAATTACTTCTCACATTTTAATTTCACTGTAGTAAAGTTTAAAGTGTAACTAACAATGTGAAACTTGAATTTCAAGTAACTATAGTTTACTGCTTAATAGTGTGGAGCAAGGAAATTTTTAGAGTTAATAACTCAGAGACCAAAACGAAAACTACAGCAAATTCAGTCAAAATACAGTTCTACATGAAATCTCCGAGGGCTGTAGGAAATGAGGAAATAGGGAGCTTTCAGTAAATATTTTGGGTTTGTGACGCCTTGCATTGTGACTAGCCCTTGGCTCTGTCAAACGCGTAACAAATCTGTAACAGAGACCGCGTGTTCAGGGGGATTGCTCACCCTTCGGTGACAACAGAAAGCTCTCACAAGCAGATGGCTGGGGGACTGTTAGAAACCGTTTTGGTTTTACCTCAGTCTCCCAGTGGATAAAGGCCCACAGTGTAAGGAGTACTAATTAATAATCTTTCCAGGAACTCTGATAAAGAACCGTGGACTGAATGCATGTGGAAAAATTTGCTATTCCTGCTCAAAAAGCTGAGTTTTCAAATCAGGGTTTTCACGTGTAGTGAGACAAGATTTGATTTTTCATCTGTCTTCTCTTTGTCTAGTCTGTGAAGCCGTCCCTAGGGAACAGTTTTAGTTGAGCTGTTTTCCAGGAAAGTAGTCTTCCAATGCATTGGCTTTCTTAGGACGAAATCAGAAGAGTACTGCAGAGCTACCAGAGAGAGCACTGACACTTCTGCTCCTTCACTTGGACAACCCAGCTCTACCACTACGGTTCTACTTCTTGGGGTGCTTATGGGGTATCTGAAAAACAGGCATGGACTCTGAAGTATCTGTGCTACCTTTGGGAAGGCTGTGCAAGCACTGCGGGGGATATGCTGCTGTTATTTGCTTTTCCCAGCATACTGCCATGTCCCCTTCACAAATATAATCCATGCAATTTAGCCCTTACAATTTAGAAATGATGTCTTTGTCAAAAATTGGTGTAATACTTCCGTTAGAGAAAGCTCTTATTAAACCTCTGACGTTAACAACTTACCACAGGGGTACAGGATGCAAGTTATAATGACAGAATTTGCTAGCTAAGATAATGAAGTTGAGTGCAGATTATTATAGGATTTGTACAAAAGGGAACTTGTTGATGCCTTTTTTTCACCCATATTTTATACCGATAATAAATATCTCTGTTTTGCTCTGTTGGGTTGACATACAGAATCTTCTTGTCATCAGCAGGTACTTCTTGCCAATATATTGGTTTATGAGTTTTCGGTGATGAATCAGTGACACGAAGGTCCTTCCCATTTTTGTTGACTGAGAGTTGCTGTTTGAATATTAAGTAAAATTTCATTTACTCTCACAACAACGTAGGCAATATCTGAAAAAGATTGTTATCCCAGAGGGTAGAAACTATCTGTTAACCTCTCCATGCAATAACAACTACCTTGAGTCTATAGGTAGAAAAGACCTAAAAGACAGAAAAAGACAAAACCAAACTAAAACATGTAAGCTTCATGCTGACATTCTGTTCTTGTGTAATGTCTCCTACTGTCTTTCTAGTATGCATTTTCTTTCATTTTCATCATTCTCCTGATAAAATTATAAATGCCATTACATAATAAACATTAGAAATATTATCCCAAATAAAATTAGCTGGAAAGATATTTGTTTCATTATTTGAACAACAACACAAAATGTTCCTACCATACTTGCTTTTGGAAATTGAAAAGTGAAGATGGGATCGGGGATAGAAAAAGGACTGGAAATTTGTCCTAAAATAAATTTTAAAAATTATTTTTAAAAGAAACTTTTCTTAAGTAATGATCTTCAAATCGTGGACTCTTAGTGTTAGCAACTCTTTTAAATAGCCGCACAGTAAAAATGGTTGGGCAGCATTGCACTTTAATGGTAGTTTTGCCCATGAGGACTGCAAGATCTTATTCCATCAGTAAAATCAGAATTCCTGCCATGTATAAATGACAGCCTGAATCCACGTGTATCAAAGAAAGAAGTTCATGGCATTAGGAGAAGAAAGACAAAAAACATATTTTGGTCTGGAATTGGAGCTGATGAAACAGAGGCACCCTAAATAACACTTCAAAATTGCTCTGGCCAGAGATTCCTTTGACATATGGGTAATTTCAGCTGCTTACCTTTAGGTTAAAAATATTAGTGGTGGTCTCAGAAGTCAACACCAGATACTTCAATAATCCTCACAGATGTTAGTACTTTAAATAGGAGAGGTACTGTCATTCCTACAAAATAAACAAAAAATCCCTCCAAGATGTTCAAGCATGAACACAGGCTCTTGCAGTAAGTACATGGAGAACTACATCGAGAAATGAAAAAGCTGTGTAAAGAAGTCAGAATGTAAGGAAAAGAGTTGGTAAGTCCGTCGTTTAACCTTGAGGATGCATGTCCTAAATGATGAGACAGTTAGGAATGTAAAGCTGGCAAAGGAGGTGAAGTACTCAGAGTGGAAAGGGGAGACAAGAGAGACCTAAAATCCAGGGCAGGAATTCTGAGTTAACTTCAGATGCAACTCCAAGAATGTCTCTGAAATTTGTAACAGGGATACGGACACTAAAAAACGCTCGGTAGTTAAACAAAATCAGCTCAGTGATCAAACTGGAAGTCATGAAAACCAAACCAGAAATCAAAAGCGACCATCACATGGTAGTTCAACCATCATAACAGAAAAGGGGATGTGGCAGGTGGCAGTTCAACCAACGGAACAGAAAAGGGGACATGGCAAATTCTTCATTATCTCAAATCTTTAAATCATGATGTAATATGCTCATTTGTTCCGAGTTTCCAGACTGTGGGTGCTGCCCCCCCTTTCCCCAGTGTCAGGGAATGCAATCAGGGAGTGGCGAAGCGTTGAAAATTTACTGCCCTCTTCCCTGCTCTTTGCACACCCTTAGTCTTCAAGGTCAAGTAACTTCTATCAACCTCTCAAAGCTCTCCCAGGTTATATAGATTTACTGTCACCGATAATTCTTAAACTATTTTATAATAAATAGTGAACATCTGAGATAAATGAGAAACTTCAACCTATGAAACTCTAAAAGGGCTCCTCTAGTTCTGGTCACTGTATTTGGTGATAGAACAGTGAACCAAATACAATGTCATATAGATTAGCTGGTAAAAGTCTGTGCTGTTACTGCCCGCGACGATACATTTTAAGTAACTATTTGTAATGAAAACGAAGTATGGAACTATTTTCACGAGGGATAAAAACTTCATGTTCAGTTAGGAACGTTATTTTGCCCTTGGCTGTTTCTGTGGTATGTTACGACTTCTGCCTGGATAAGTTTTGTGGGTACTGACATTTGCTGCTTCTGTCGTTTCTACTTTCGACAATGATTTATGTTTCTTGTGCTGTTTGGATTATTTTTGTATTAAGGTACGGACACTGAAGTCACGCTGTAGGTACCACTTAAGAGCCATTCATTACAGATTCAAATAGTAGTTTATTTTAAAAACCTCTTAATTCAACAATGTATTAAACGTACACAATAAAGTCTTAAATTAACTTGTATATTGCAGCTAAATGGAACAGGCCTTATAAAATTTAAATACCATATCTTAGTCCAGACAGTGAAAACTTGTAATTACACTGTGTATCCTGGAAGCTTTTTTATTACAAGTTCACTGATATCCTTGTATTGATTAAGAACATGTAGTTCTCCTAGAAAATCATCTGCTTTGTCTGACATACTGTTTTCCAGGGCACCAAGTTCAAGATCAGGCATGTCAGATGGCAGGTAAGAGCTAACTTGAGTTACCGACTGGCTTTTCCCTGCAGGCGTCTGCCCCTTCCCTATACTCAGATCAGTATCCGAGCCGACTTGTTTGCTTCTCAGTGTAGATACTTGCTTAATATGCCAATCACCCCTGTTCTCTCCTTTACTGATCTGTTGGACTTCCTGCTCTTCATCTAATAACCTTGCTCGAATGGACGCATCGTTAAGTGAATCGACAGATTCACTGCTGGTTTGCTTGCTGGTTTTTAAGTCACGGTTTCTCTTCGAAGACTGGACTGGAGATGAAACGGAAGGAACTGGCAGAAGACCTGAAGTACATTCAGCTCTTTGACTTGTCTTTGAAATTCTGGACCTGCTGGATTCCGAGTCTGTATCTGAATAACCTCGCTTCGGGCTTTCAAGCCACAAAGGCTCAGGACTGCTGTCAAGAGCTTCCGAGTCTCTGCCCGTACACTCAGCACTGGTGAAATCTTCTGAGTAAATGGTGTTCTCAGGACTAGCAACAAAGTCATCTGAGTAGATGAATTCAGAGTTGTTTTCAGCACTCTTGCTGGGGCTTGGTTTACGGTCGCTTACAACAGACGCATCATCGTGCTCTGTGGTTTTACGACGGATTAAGTGTATTTCTTCTACATTACTTCCCTTTGCATCTGATAGGAAAGCTGCTGGGAGCGGGGCTTTCGCATACTGTTCCTTGAGAGCAGATTTTAATACAGGTTCATCCACTAAGGGGGCTGTAGTGACTTTGCACGGGCGTTCCTTGTGTACACTTTCATCGTTCTTCAATAGACTTTCAACCGCCCGTTTCTGCAGGTCAGGGGACACATCTCCCGCCATGGAAACGCACTCTGCGAGAGCGCTGTTTTGTAATGAAGTCTCCACTGTTTTATCAAGCCCATTATTCTGCTTTGAACTGTCTCCCTTGCTATGGTGCCTGTACGAAACCACACCCTGTTCTCCGGCACTTCTGGGCAGCTTTCTTCTGGATAAAGGGCTTCTCTCCTTCAGCACCTCCATTTGCTTTTTGCGGTACTGCTCTCTCCTTTCAAGAATTACCAGCTTCTCAGGGTTGGTCTGCTGCAGCCGTAGCCTCAGTGTATTTGTCAGCCCGTACAACAGTTTCCTTCTTGGAGGTCGGTTTTCCTTAGTTTTGCCGTTCCTCTCGGAGCCTGTCTCACCCTCCGGTACAGCTCTCCGAGGTCCTCTCCCAGCCCGAGAAGACCCTGGTGAAGTGGCCTCTTGCCGGCCTCGCTTGAATCGAGGGCTGGCAGCTCCGTGGATCCCACCGGGCCCCTCCACAGGCTTTGAGGAG